ATAAAGTGACTTTTGTGGCTTATTATAGGGAGAACGCTTGCCCGAAGAAAGCCCACCACGTTTTGGAACACTGTCGTCGATTGATATGGTCGGTCATGTGCAACTGGCAAAGCTGGTTATGAAGCATTAGTTCCTTTAGTTATTCGCAGTCGAGTGACTCCTCTGTTGGCCAAACAAATGGCACAGTCAGATTCCAACATGGACTTTGGGATCGGTCGAGGGGAAAGTATGATTTTGCAGGTAAGTAGAATTTCCATATTATGACGTCTCACCTTCACTGATTACGTATATTTGCCAAGGAGCGAAGAATTCGTGTCCAGCTACCCTCACTGGACATCGGTGGTTGAGTTGTTGAGTGCAGATGGTTAGTATGGAAGTGGAACCATGGTCCAGGTAAGTCCTGGTTGGTTATTGCGTCCCATCCCGGAAGGAGGCAGTTCCTCAGTTCAGTCCCGGATCTCTCAGATGTTCACGACTTCAGCGAAAAGAGAAATAGCGGAACAGGCCGAGAGAAGACCAAAAAGGACAGTCATTGTACCAAGCATTGGGACATCCTACTTTAGGATATTTACTTGAGACAACTGGTGTACAATGTGTAAAAGCACTTACGCTGAAATTGTTTTTTACTTATGCAGAAGGCATGGCCCATGGTAAAATACTTTATGTGCATGAGGATGAAGAGCAGGGTTTCGCTAAGAAATTCACGAGGTTTTAGCTAACGGCGTTGGAATTCAACCTGAGACCAGAAGGTGGGTAGGTAGTCACGATTGGTTGTTATCGGAAACCAAAAGATTCAGTGACGATGTGGCCATATTTATATATACTCCACAGGATGAGGATTATCTCAGACACCTAATGACCACTACTTAAATGGGTATATAAAGATAGGAAGCTGAGCATATTAGAAGAAGGCCAGGAGTAAATGGATATGAACGGAAGAAAAAGTGTCGAAGGTAAGGCGATCGAGAGATGGCATGTCATGGAGCCATTACTGGATATAAAGAAAGTTTCTCTTAAAAATAACACGTGGAGGAAATTTGCTCCCCTCCTACGGATATTCAGCTCTTTTACGATTCCTGAACCCAGGGGTTCAGGCCTAGTACTCAAATATTCCACTATTGGTCTAAAAAGCATTAAGGCCAACTTCCTCTGGATTCTGCATTTGTACGTGGAATCGCATTTCCGCCAATTGGGACGAAGTTAGCCACACTGATCAACTACACTCTGCATTTGGCATGTCCAGTGTGAATACCTGGACAAGAGGCCCTCATGCCAGAACCAGTGTAACCACAAAGGTAAAGCCAACTTCCAATGGTTTGAAATCCTTACAAGCCTGCGCAATCCTTCACCCGAGATTTCTGGACATTTCAGCTCTTGACCGGTTACAACGAGGAATGGCAGACTTAGGCTAGGCCATTCGCTTAGCCATCGCAGAGAAATGGAGCCCACAAGACTGCGAATAGCCGAGTGTACATTCGGTCCGTAAGCTACATTGCCGGTTATACATAACCATTTAAACGGACTGACGGCAGTGTTCCAGGAGGTGGTGGGTTGTTGCCTGGCAAGCGTTAACCTTACAAAGCCACAAACGTCCTTCTATCAATACTGCGACGTGGCGGATGTAACTAGCGACCGAATAAGATCTGCCCTAAAACCTACACTGGCAAGTTACCAGAGCGACCTTTCATATCATTTAGTATACTTTGGATATGTACATTAAAAAGACACTTCTTTGTTTTTGCCATCCGTCTCCATTCTACATATTACTCTGTTAGACCTTCTTGAACCCAGACTATCACCACATCATTATTGATTCCGTTCCTTACCAGTGCATCCGCAGCGTTTTTGTTACGGAACAATCCCAGGTAAATTCCTAAACGTGCTAGATATGGTGCGCCTCAAAATATTCGAGAACAACTTATTTACCTATTTATTTATTTAGAAACGACCAGATTGTTGCACTGAGCAAGTGGGCTAATCGGTCGTAGCATGTAAAGCTTTGCGCCGTCTCATAGATCGCGTCTCAGTAAAATTATAGCTAAGGAAGTTGAAACCAATAGGTGCATGATAACTGTGACCCAACGGCCAGTCTGCAACCAACGCAGCAATCAAATGCTTTGTCCTCAAGTAAAAGATTTAGCACAGGTAGAGTTGACCTTGACTTTGACCTTGACACGGTAACCCTAAATCTGACATTCAATACTAACGAGAAATTTAGCTAAAAAGGTTGGAAATCAGTGTTTGAACAAACACTATCGAAAGAACCTGACTTTTGTCAAATGGTTCAAATAGATGAAACACAAAAGAGCCTCCAGAGGTATGATCAGGGGAAGACGTCAGCCTGGCTTTCAGAAGCACAACGACACTAACGGCAACTGCTTTGTGCGCAGTGTAGTCTCAGCACTGAGACCACCAACGGTAAGCTATAATGCAAATAACCAGATGACCCCCGTTAACCTTTCGGCTATTCCACCAGGAAACTTGGCTAATTGCCTTGTGGGTAATTCCGACCCACGGACGGTTGCAAAACATAACGCTAACATGTCTGTAATGACACTAAAATCGTTAATAGCAGAGTGCCCATCGCCTTCGCTTTTGAGTACAAGGCAACATCACCAGACCGTCTCACAGACACGCTTCTTAAAGTCCAAAACATCGAAAATGAGCTAAACTCACTGAAAGCAGAATTGCAGCATATCAAGTAATTCTTGGTAAAAAATACCGCTGGCGCTGCTATCGGATCAATATAAATCTGACAAAGTAAAGGAGCTTAACAAAGTGGATGAATTGCTTACCACGTTATCCAAGGAACTCAACGAACGAGTCATCCACGCATGAAATGCAATAATATTTAGGGTGGCTAATAACCTACCACTTGCGAAATTGACACGCACACTTCTAAGTGTATGCAAACTGAACCGGGATTGCTGCTCATGTAGCCGCCTCCGAGAAACGAAAGGAGCCGATTCTGGCCCATTGTCCTCAAGCTCAGCAGCCATAATCATGCCAACGGCTTCCTAAACCACAATTTCTGTATAAGACAGCAAGCGATTCTCGGACCCATACTGATTAAACAGCACATGACGTCTTTGCAAAGGGCGATCATGTCAATTGGGCGAACCCTAACTAAGCGGAATCCGCGTGATTCCGTAACTATGAAAACGGCTACCATCATGCCAACTGCTAGGTTTAAATTTACGTTAGGTTTGCTCCTGAAAGCTCTCAAACAGACAGACAAAACGTTGCTGAATGGGCCCCAGTACCTGCTATAACGACGTTTGCCAGTACAACTACCAATAATACCACCAATACGACACTATTATAAATCGTGCAATTAACTAGCATGCATATGAACACAACTTACACAGCAAGCTCATCAATGGCTTTCAACGTTGACATGGATTTGTCACAACGACAGTTAACTCTTATCGCAATAGAGGTATCCGCAGGTGAAGGTCAGGCAGAAGCTACGGCCTCCTTTGATGCAACCCTAGACAAGACAGAATGCAGCGAGAAGCTCGGCAGCTTATCTGACATACATGACACGTACATTGAACTCGATAGCGTGGGCTTCTTATCATCGTGTACTCCGTTTTCCAATATCGTAAAAGATCTCACGCAGCCTGACACTGGCACGGTACCTAAGCCCAGGTGTTCAAACCCAAACTGCTTGATAACGGTGAATCCGCGGCTCCCTTCAACTACAAGAAAATATAGCAAGGAATCAATGCCTGGAAGTACTAAAACGGCCAAAATAACCCGTGTTTACTAGACAAAACACGAGCACAGGCTACACGTTTTAGGCCGAAATATAGTATAGTGACAGCCAAGGTTAATCAGCCACATCGTAAGAAGTAACTCCTCGTAACCTCAGCTCAACAACGAGTAATTGGGTTACACCAAAACACCCCTATACTGCCGGACCATTCGCAACGCTGCTTTGAAAAAACCCAAAGCGATACGTCGACCGAATTAAGCACGATAATACAGGCAAGACGAACACATGATGGTCTCCATAATCTCGTTGCGAAGCGAAGAATGTTAGGGCGACAGTCAAGATTAAGCGGTCGCAACGTAAGAAGTACCTACTTAAAAACTCAAGCCCCGCTATTGGTAACCAGACCCCGCATCCACTTCACCACTCTACCAGCAGTAATTGGACAGGGTGTCATGTTTTAGGCTTTTATACACCCCAAGCAGATTTATCAATTCCCGATCCGACGAAATGCAAAAGAAGGAACTTTCCCGGGTTATCCTATTGTTTCGGTCCCAACTGAACTTGAACTTATATTAGCATTATGTGTGCAGTTGCCCGTAAAATGGTATAGATAGTCGTTGTAAACTTTCTAAATAAATGCATGGTATGTAGGTATTCGGTTTTCAGGTCTGGTCCTACCGACGTAAGGAACGAACAGCAAGCCCACGAAATCCGCTACATGTGATAAAAAAGGGGCATACACAAGAGTATCATATCGTTCCGTTTACAGCTGAGTTTGAACATGAAATTGAGGCATACCAGCACGTTTACTTGATTCTTCTTAATTTATACTAACAATATAATATGACCCTTATGCCCATACTGGTTTTAGAGGAGTATGATTGTCGGCATGCCGGCGGTAGGTAAATCTTGTTTTTCTTCACTAGCGTCCGGGTCATCCTTTGTCGACCCTGGGCGCTGTCCTTCTGCCATGCCCCGCGGGTGATTGACCCTGTTCTTTGGGGTTTAGCATCTGACGCTGTCGTATTCCTTCGTATACTTTGATACTGGAGTGCAACGACTGTATCCTCTGATGCGTAGGATTATTTACCAGTCTTTCAACACAGTATTTACGAGGCGGCACTGGTGTGACTCCGCTTTACTACTGCCAACAACGTGCGTGTCCCGAACACTCGTGCATCGAATTATCAGCTTTGGCGGACCAATCTGACGTAGCTGAGGCTGGTTTCCTCTGTCTTTGTGGTCTATATTTAGACCGCAATTTGGCGGACTGTTTGCAGTTATGGTGAGTTGAAGATATCATCTTCTCATAGTTCGTTTTTATTCGTATTAGCCAGATGTTTTGGTTTTTATAATTATTAGTCGCTCGAATCTTGATCACGTTACTGGTACTATCCACTTCTGTCAACCTTTCGTTAATTCCTTGTAGAGATAACCGGAGAATCACGGCTTGCTCTATGTTAAATGAATTGTACTAAGAGGCTTAGCGTTTGGTATGTATATGAAAGTCCAAATAATTTTCTTTTCACTGTATCTAGATTATGGAGTTAAGGTTCGCTCATCGTACCTGGTCTAGAGAATATATTTTATTACCATTTTTAGGTTGGTTCATTGGACAAGAAATTGTTGAATCCCGTCTCCTACTAACGCTGTATCGTATTGTATGACATTTTTAAAGCCCCATCTTTGCCGACTTCATGGTATTACTTTCAAGGAAGTTAAGTTGACAGCAACCATAGTGCCACTGGAGTAGAACCACCTGCAGCCACCATCCAACGACACCTATAGAATGCCTATCGGCAACAGTCCCCTATAAGGCCACATTTTCCCTTTTCCATGGCGACGTTCAACGTTCACACTCTAAGACAAATAGCTCAACAGGCTGCACTTGCACGCACCTTGGACACACTGGGTATTGATGGTGTCGTGTGTCCGAGACTAGGATCAATGACTCTAATGGGGTTGTTGAATTAACTGCATCCGGTTTGTCTTCTCGTTATTGGTTGCACGCATCCAGAGACGCCGATGCAGCACTCACGGGTCAAGCTGGTGTAGGTATCATTCTAAGCTCCAAGGCTGAGCCATCGTTGGTTGGTTGGATTCCGGTGAACAGCCGTTTCTGTGCAGCCCGTTTGACATCAGCTAAGGCGGATTCACGAAGTAGTACAAAACGCTGTTTGTTTGTTATTTCCCCTTATGCTCCCACCGACTGCAGTTCGAAAGTTATCAAGGACACCTATCACGAATTGAAAGCGCTACTACGCAATGCTACTTGTTCAGATAGTATAGTACTTGCAGGGGATATGAACGCACAAGTAGGGTGTCTGAGCTCTTCAGAAGCTCAGCTGGGTGGTAATTGTGGACATAACTCCGAACGGACTGACAACGGCGACCGTCTGCTGCAACTGTGTGCGGAGCACGTTGTTTCTTAGTAGCACTGCTTTTAGACACGGGCGCCGAAGTGCTACTTTGCGTCCTCCTGTAGCTGGCCAGTGATGGACCCAAATTGACCATGTAGCCATAAGTTACAGGTGGCGTGGTTCCATCCTAGATTACCGCTCGTACTGGAGTACCTGCGTCGACTCCGATCATGCCTTGGTACGCCGTCGTTTCTCCATGAACTACTTGGAGGCGCATCAAGCGTCTCCTCCTATTGGCAACTGCGAAACTGTCGCAGCCCTCGGTCAGGCAAGCCTATCAAGACTCACTGCATACCGAACTTTCGCTGTCTTGTTCTAATGACACTGAACTTCATTGGAATAGGATCTCAGTCGCCATGCACGACGCAGGAGCATCTGCTTGTGGCACTATAAATGGTCACCACAACAGTCGCTGGATATCCGAGAGGTTGGTGAACTTATTGGAATCCAAAACAAACCCCGGCTGGCTCTGAACACAATGTGACCATACGGACTATTAGGCGTGAACTAAAGCAGAGCCTACGTGCTGTAAAGGAAGCCTGGTGAACCACTCGGGCGCCAAATCACATTGTGTTCACCAATTTGTATGTGACTGCGGAACCAGTTTCATATACAAATCCGACAGTTTTGAATTTTAGTGTAGGAACACCTGCCTAACTGGGTTCAACGTGAGGTCATTTAATACCCATCCAGTGATCCCTGTGCACGTAAGCCGCCAGCGTCATCGATAAGCAAACACATTTTTGCGTCCCATCATCAGTTTAAGTCTTTAGTCGTTTCAGATTCCAGTACGTTACCCTAATTTGCGTTTATTGCGAATCGCTCGTAACGCTGCTTCGTTTCCTGGCTCAGTAATTTGCGCACGTACCAGCAACCGATCTTGAGCGTTTTCCACGAAGGCATACGGTTGCGCCTGACAGTCGCTCGGGTGCCAGCTAAATTCCTTACCATTATCTAGTCTCTCTACGATGACTCACGAGCGCGTGTAAAGTTGTGCGGGAAACTGTCTCCAGAGTTCCCCACGACAAGTGGGGTACTCCAGGGTTGTCCTGCATCTTTCCTATTAAATTTGTTATCTAAGTGACAATAAACGAATCGGTGCTTTCAGACACTACTGGAGTGAAAGTTCTGCTGGGCGACCGACTGACAAACATGGGGTATGCGGACTACAGTTCTTTTTGTATCTGACACAATGGCTATGTAAACACAACTTGATAGACTGACGTGTATTGTTGCACCTTCAAAATGCAGATTACTGCTGCAGGACTAAACCGACATCTCTGGTTCTGGCTATCACTGAACATCCACTGAAAGTGGTGGGTCGGTTCACTTACCTTGGTAGCTGTCACCCCCTGGTGGTTACCTTCTTGAGGAAGTTACTTCTCGATGTGTGTCGTAGCAGCTGGATCCACCGCATTTCAGTGCTTGTTCAGCTAAACTGTAACTTGTATTTCCACTGACAGTACGGTTAACTGATACAACTGCTCGGGTCACGGTGCAGTCACTTCCCAAATCAGAAGACAAAGGCGGAATTTGTATGGAACACAGTATGCACAGCCAAAATATGGGATCAGAATAAATAGGTCATGATAGAATTCCGTAATTGAATGTTCCTGAATTCTAGTCCTCTTGACAAGACTGGACTTAAACGAGATAAGGTGGTTTGCATGCCTAGGCGACCCATTGGGCTATCCTGGATGATGCTTTTGCACCTCAGAGTTACTCATACCAAATTAGTTACTGGTTAGTATCCAGAAAAACTAAGCTCTCTGGAGCTTAGAGTGAGGATGGCCCTTTCAGCCATGAAATGGACTCAGTGTAGCCCAGTGTCGAAATCCCGATACCATGTAGTGGAGTTTTTGAACCATATGCTTTGGTTGAGAACCCTAATCCTTCTCCTGTCTAAGCCTGGCTAATCTGCTAGTATCCTATCCACGCATTACAATACACTGACTTTCGAAACAATTTCTTGATGCTCTGGAGGTCGCAGTGGATAATAAATAGCGCCCTGTGTGCTGCACCGAGCAGGTTGGATGAGGATTTGGATGCTACTACTCTAATCCTCTCTGACAACACTCGCAGGTTTTTCCAACTCATTCGCTCCACTGGTCTCAAGAAGTCTGGTGTCAGTGAGTCATTTGTGAGGTGGATGCGTTACCGATTGCCAACCCACCGAGGCGTATGGACCGCTGGGCCGAGCACTTTCACTCGCAGTTCAACTGGCCTCCACCATCCATCAGTACACCTTGTTGTCCACCCTGGATCGTCCCACTGAATCCACCCAGCGAAGCGGAAGTCTACCTCGGAATTCGACGCTTAAAGCGGTTCAAGGCTGTCGGCTGAGGCGGACTTCCTCCGGAGCTGTTCAAGTACAGTGGCGTGGCGATCGTTAGCCAGCTGACCGCGCTGTTCGCAAAAAGCTGGCATGAAGAGAAAGTGTTTTCCTCTTGAGACGAATCAGTTATTGTCTCGATTTCCACGAAAGGCGTGGGATCATTCTTATTTCGGTTGCCTCCAAGGTATTGGAATCCATTCTACTTCGCAGACTATCCCCAGTACATGAATCATACCACTGTGAAGAACTAGCTGGTTTCCATCCCGTCCGCTCCGCCAGCTCCTCGAACATCGCCATATTTATCACAGACCCACTATCGTTGCATTCCTAGAGATACGTGCCGCTTTTGATTCCGTTGATCGACATGCTTTATGGCGTTGCTTGCTAAAATACGGGGTGCCATAGAGATATATCGCCATCTTTACTTTCATACATGCGGCAGAGTGAGGGTCTATGGCAAGCTTTCCTCGCCATTCGTTGTCAATAGCGGTGTGCGACAGGGCTGCCCTATGTTCCCATTCCTCTTCAACTTCGCAATTGAAGACGTTCTGTCGAATGCTCTCGAGCTTTTACAGGGTGAGCGCACGACCGACTTAGATTATTCTGATGATATCGCCTTACTTGGTGACGGTTCTCAGGGTATGCAACTCATTCTGGATCGTTTGGCGGTTGAAGCATCTAAGTATGGCATAAGTTTCCCCTCATCGAAGTGTAAAGTACTGCTCAAGGATTGGTTCTCACCTGCTCACGTGCTCACTCTCGAAGGTGCACAACTTGAACTGGTAGATAGTTTTGTTTACCTTGGGAGCTGTGTTTCTGCTGACGGCACTATCAGCAAAGAAGTTTCTCTTCGTATCGCTAAAGCTCTATCAGCATTTGTCAATCTGAGGCACTTGTGGCGTCGTCGCGACGTTTCATTCTCGCTAAAGGGCCGCGTCTACAGCGCATCAGTTCGCTGAGTATTGTTGTATGGGTGCGAGCCCTGGCCAATTCGCGTGGAAGACATGCGTCGTCTTTCTGCCTTCGATAACGGTTGCTTAAGGAGGATTGCTCGTGTTTGGTGGCAACATCGAGTTAATAGTAATGACGTTCGACGTCGCATCTTGGGGAATGCGAGTATTCCCTTCAACAAACTGGTTTTGTTGTGCCAGTTGAGATGGCTCCGTCACGTCCTACGCATGGCACCTGAGCGTCTACCGCGTCGCGCTCTATTTGCTCGTCAAGGACCTGGCTGGCGGCGACCGCGTGGTGGTCAGCCTTCTACATGATGGCAGCACATGAAATCGCTGATCTCGTGTCTAGTCGCTGTTGAGCCCGTACGTCTTCCAGGATGGGGACCCAAAGATGAGGAGTGCCAATGGCTTAAGACTCATGAAGACATGGCCTGCAACCGGAATCAGTGGAAGAATTGTGTGCGATATTGTAGTAATTCGCATGTTTAATACGTCAAACATTGAAAATGACAAAGAGGAAAATCGGCGTGTGAAGAACAAACTGCAAATGTTTTGTTTTACTTTATATCAAAATGTT